AGAATGGCGTGTAGCCGGTGGCCCGGCTGGGGGGTCATCCTCAGGCTCCAGAGTACCGTGGGAAGTTTTGTGACCCATCGTCCACCAAACTTGTTCAACCAGTTAAAGATCCTAGGCTTGAGGCCTTGTAAGACCATGCTGTTCGTGCGCTCGACCTGCCTGTTCATGCGGGGGTGCGCCATGGTGGCCCAATTAACGTGGATGTGGTATTCATCGTAGAATCAGAGGAACTCCTTTCCGGTGAACTATGTGCCATTGTCCATGATAATGGAGTTTGGGACTCCAAAGCGATGGATGATGTCAAGGAAGAACAACATGGCTTGCTTGGACTTGATCACGGAGATCGTTTGAGCCTCTACCCACTTTGTAAACTTATCTACGGTGATAAACAAGTGCGTATAGTCCTCGGCCACCCTCTTGAGAGGTCCAACCAGATCGAGCCCCCAGACCACGAATGGCCACATGATGGGGATCATTTGGAGTGCTGCCGAGCGTAGTATTGACACCCTTCGTAGGTGCGCACAATAGGTGACCCCAAGCCAGTAGAAGCCATGTTAGAACATGTTTCCGACCAGGGTTCTAGGCACGGCATGGTGACTGCAGACCCCACCGTGGATATCGCTCAACAACCGCTTCCCTTGTTCGATGGGGATGCAGCGCTGTAGGACCCTGGTGTGGCTTCGCTTGTAGAGCTCACCATCAATAACGGCAAAGGACTTGGCACAACATGCAAGCCGCCGAGCCTCCATTTTGTTCGTCGACAGTGCCTCGCGGAGGAGGTAGTCAAGGTAAGGCGCCCTCTAGTCGGCCAGAGGGTCGGGCTCTATTGCTAGATCTTCATCAAGCTCCATGACTTTAGGGTTGGATGGAGCCAATGGCTGGTTAGCCCCCGAGCCTAGGGCAGGCAGCCCATCACTGGCTTGTTTCGGCTCGTAGCGGACTGAGGGTTTGTACTGATTGCTGGTGAAGACGCCTATCGGCATCGGCTCTTTCGCCAACGCGTCGGCCGCCTCATTGAGACGCATCGGGATGTGATTGAGCTCGAGACCACTGAACTTGTCCTCCAGCTGGCGGACTTCTCGTCAATACGCAGCCATCTTGGCATTGTGGCAGCTTGATTCCTTCATGACTTGGTCGATGACTAGCTAGGAGTCACCCCGGACGTCAAGCTATCGGATACCCAACTCGATGGCAATGCGCAGGCCGTTGACGAGCACCTCATATTCAGCCACAATGTTAGAGGAGGGGAAATGGATACGAACCATGTACCTCATGCGTACCCCGAGGGGCAAAACGAAGACCAGCCCTGCACTGGCGCCTTTCTTCATCAACGACCCATCGAAGTACATCGTCCAGTACTCCTAGTCGATGATTGCTAGCGGCATTTGGAGCTCGGTCCACTCTGCAACGAAAGCAGCCAGCACTTGGGACTTGATGGCCGTCCGGGGGGGGCATATGAAATGCCTTGACCCATCAGCTCGAGTGCCCACTTGGCAATTCTTCCCGTGGCGTCTCTGTTTTGGACGACCTCACCGAGAAGGAAGGACGTCACGACCGTCACTAGATGAGACTCAAAGTAGTGATGCAACTTTCTTTTGGCGATGAGGATGGCGTACAGGAGCTTCTGGATTTGGGGGTAGCGGGTCTTGAAATCCGACTAGACCTCGCTAATGTAGTATACGAGACGCTGCACTTTGAGGGCGTGTCCCTCTTCTTCTCGCTCTACCACCAGGGCGGCGCGGACCACTTGCGTGGTGGTCGTGATGTAGAGCAGAAGCGGTTCCCCATTGGTCGGGGGGACCAGGATCGGGGCCTTCGTCATAAGCTGCTTGACCGCGTCAAGTGCCTCCTAGCCCTCGGGCGTCCATTCGAAACGGTCGGCCTTCTTCAGGAGCCAATAGAGGGGGAGACCTCATTCGCCGAGGCGCGAGATAAAGCGGCTGAGCACGGCAAGGCACCCTGTAACTCTTTGTACCCCCTTTATGTTCTGAATCGGGCCCATCCTCGTGATGGCCAAGATCTTCTCTGGGTTGGCTTCGATGCCATGCTCGAAAATGATAAAACCTAGCAGCATACCCCTTGGGACCCCGAAAACACACTTCTCGGGGTTTAGCTTGATGTCATTTGCTCAGAGTTTCGCGAAGGTCTATTCTAGGTCGGCTACAACCTGGTCAGCCCGTTTGGATTAGACCACGATGTCATCCATGTAGGCCTCAATGGTTCGCCCGGTGAGGTCCCCGAAACACTTGAGCATGTAACGCTGGTACGTAGCCCCCGCGTTTTTCAGACCCAATGGCATTGTGACATAGCAGAACGATCCAAATGGGGTGATGCAAGATGTCGCGAGCTGGTCGGACTTTTTCATTGCGATTTGATGGTACCCGGAGTACGCATCAAGGAAGCAAAGGGTTTCGCACCTTGAGGTTGAGTCGACTACTTGGTCTATGCGTGGCAAAGGAAACGGATCCTTTGGACACGCTTTGTTGAGACCCGTGTAGTCAACACAAATTCTCCATTCCCCACTCTTTTTTCATACAAGAACGGGATTGGCTAACCACTCAGGGTGGTATACTTCCTTGATGAACCCGGCCACCAAAAGCTTCGCAATCTCCTCGTCGATCGCCCTGCGTTTCACCTCATCAAAGCGACGCAGGCACTGCTTCACCGGCTTGGAGCCTGGCCTGATCTTCAAGGCATGCTTGGTGACTTCTCTCGGAATGCCTAGTATGTCCGAGGGTTTCTACGTGAAGATGTCTCTGTTGGCGCGGAGGAAGTCGACGAGCGCGCTTTCCTATTCGGAGGAAAGCATGGTGCCAATGCATACCACTTTGCCCTTGGAGCTACTAGGGTCTATGAGGACCTCCTTGGCGCCCTCTATAGGTTCAAAAGACCCGGCCGACCGCTTGGGGTCGGGTGCTTCTTCGGCGACCTCCTTCCTGATGGTCGTGAGCTCTTTGGAGGCGACAATTGTTGTGGCGTGCTCGCAGCACTCGACCTCGCACTCATAGGTGCGCTGGAAGGAGGTGCCGATGGTGATGACCCCATGTGGACTCGGCATCTTTAGCTTTAGATAGGTGTAGTCGGGGACGGCCATGAACTTCGCGTAGCATGGATGTCCCAGGATGGCGTGGTAGGTTCCATGGAACCCGACCATCTCGAAGGTAAGGGTCTTCGTCCTATAATTGGACGGATCCACGTCGTGGCCCTGTCCGTCACTGGCGTCATGCGTAGGCGTCGTTTGCCGGTCATGGTGTTCCATTCCGTCGCAGCGGACGTCGTGGTGAGCTGACACGCCTGTCAGCGTCCGTACGGGGGTTAGGCAGAACAACACCAGTACGTCCGACACTGTTCCTAATGTGAATCCTTAGGTATGGCCCGTCATGGCCATGGATTACATCGGGCGTGCAGGTCTCTTCCTTGGTGCCAGAGTTTTGACCTAGGCCCATACGCTTAGACCTGGAGTGGTTGGCGGCGGTATGGGTTTCCGTCGGGCGAGACAGAGCCCGCGACCTCAGGGTCGGGCGAGGCGGAGCTCGCCCCCAGAGGTCGGGCGAGGCGGAGCATGAACCCAAGGGTCGGGCTAGGCGGAGCCCCCCCCAGAGGTCGGGCAAGGCGGAGCGCGTGGCCTCGGGGTCGAGCGAGGCGGAGCATGGACCCAAGGGTCGAGCGAGGCAGAGCCCGCGGCCTCGGGGTAGGACAAGGCGGAGCCTGCCCCAGAGGTCGGGCGAAGCGGAGCTTGCGCACCTGGGGTCGGTTGGAGCTGTAGTCGAGCTCTTGACTGCTCGGATGAATCAATGTTGATGGTCATTAGCTCTTCCTCTTCGGTACCCTAGTATTGGTCCCCGACAATTTCCGATGGCAATTTCACAATGATGAATCCTATATATATGGTACTATGTTTGTACGGGAGATTAGATGATATTAACGGGCACCACTGTTGGGTACGGTATTTCATTAGTCCTTTCTCGCAGCCTGTTCGGTTGGCTGGTTCGTATCGTTGCTGGTTCGTGAAGAAGTACTGCTGGCTGGTTTGTGTGAGAGAAAAACACTGTTCCGGCTAGAAATTTACGATCGTTTACGACAAGCCACAGCCAAACGAATAGGCTGTCGATCGTTGATCCCTACAGTGGAACTTATTATCTCACACGTCGTCTACCTCCCTCACGGCGCCTTTTTCTCATGTCCATTAATCAGTGGATCAAATGTAGCTGAAATTTTTGTTGGTGCCTGGTGGCATGTCACATGCTGGGCTTGCATTGCTTGGTTGGATTATTTAGTAACTACTTTCTCTGTTTTAAATTATAATTTTTTTATTTTTTTTTGGTATATAGATTTTGTTGGGTATGTATACCTATATTATATCTAACAAAATTGAATGAGGCCGCCTAAAGTAATTTTTTTTATATATTTATCGATACAGATCGGTAATTCTTATATACGACTAGGCTTTAACTATAAGTGACAACAGATTTGCCACTTTGCCCACTGTCAGTGACTCAGGTGACCCCGCGTGTGAATTACAGTGAGACTTCACACTTCTTTAGGAGTGCAGAAACGGGACGCCAAATGTACTTTACGGTACACATGCTGCCCACAGACGCCCATGATTCTCAACTGGATCGGCAATCCGCAGTCCCTACAAGTTCTCACCATCGCAATCTTTGCCTACAAGCTTCCAACCTGGACATGGCAAAGGCTCCGCCCACCATGCCCCTCGCCACCACCAACGCGGCCGGCGTCCACATCGAACGTTTTCAAGGTGTAAAAATGGAACAACTCCATGTGCCCAACCGTCGAGAGCGCGTCGCTCATGCCGTGGAGCGCATACTGCGGCACCAGCCAGAATACGCTGATGGGCATGACGGCTTTTGCGGGCTGTCGAGCAGGCCGCCGTGCTTCGGGGCCACGCGGCGCCGCCTTGCCTCCACGAGCGCGCCCGCCATGACGCTAAGGACGGAGACCACGAAGCCGGCGACCCGGCGCCCATGCGCTGGAAGTAGCTAGGTGATGCCCGACCGCCGCACGGTGTAACGGCGCGCGACGGGGGCGAAGACACGGTCGTAGAGCGCGAGGGTGACGCTGAAGAGCATCGTGAGCGTGGTGAAGAATTGAAGATGATCATTTTTGGCGGGCGGGATCTGCGGGGTGAGGTGGCGGTCCACGGTGCGCGCCTGCTGGATGATGGCGAAGGTGAAGTTGTGAGACGCGACCGCGATGAGCGTGATGCTGGCCGCCCACAGTGGTAGCATGCGGAATTGCGGATGATGGACTACTACTACAATGTAGTAGTACATACCTGTTGGACTTGGAGAAATGACGCGTGGGAGCTGGTCTGCTGGTGGACCATGAAGGCCGCGCGTCGCCCGCGCCCGCGGAGCCTGCCGACCCGCTCCTGTGGTTCCCCGCCAGGTGCCCGCCGGGCGGGGAGGCCGCCGTGGTGCTCACCACGACGACGCTCCGCGTCGTGCGGGGGCACGTTCGAGGGCTGCAACGGCGCGCGCGCTGCTGGAGAACCTGGGAGCGGCGTTCCAGGAGCGCGACGTGTCCATGGACCGGGGCCTGGGAGAAGGCCGTGCCCCCGCGCCTCTTCGTGCCCGGCTGCGACGTCGGAGGCGCCGCGCAGGTGCTTGCTGCCACAGCTGGTGTCGATGTGCGCGGGCGCCGCGGGCGGCGACACGAAGCTCCACGCCCCTGGTGGCAAGGGCAGGTGCGCCGCGTGCGGGGGCCTCAGTTTCGTGGTGTGTGGCGGCTGCGACGCTGGAGAGCACAAACATATACGACGCTTTGCAGTATGGATGATCGTACAGGCAAACATTCGGCAAAAAGTCTGAGAACAAATGCCCAACGAACGACGACCAACATTCATATAGGCGGAGTTGAGAAACTTCTTTCTATTGTCTTCCTTCTTTTTCTTGCAGGCACCGAAGAATGAGGAAGACTGATCTGAAACCTATTCTCCCTAGTCTTTCATCGTGGCCAGATCTCACCACAATAAAACGGAGAAGAGACTGAAGAAAATTATTCCATGGCGGCGACACCATCTCCGCCTTGATGTCATCGTCCGGAAATAAAAGTCTCCATGTTGTCAAACCGGTGATGATGCTGGCGCCGTAGTTGTCGTCCTCATCTTCAACGGAGCCGTCATGGACAAAATTATTCCACCCTGCCCTTTCGCCATCACCGGAGGGGAGGAGGACGAAATAAATCCCCAAAACCAAGAAACTTGCATAGAGAGACTATAACCCTAAAGACTCGATCTACTGGGAAAACTTATTAAAAATGATGGATCTCCAATCCCTCCGACCTCTGGCAATATGCCAAAGGGGGAGGGAGGGGACCAGCGGTGGTGGAGGTGGGCGGCGGCGACGACGGCAGCGCTCCGACTCGCAGGAGCCTTCAGTCGCGAGACCTAACCACTTCAGCATAGATCTAAAGCTACAATAAAAACTTTATACTAAAGCATACCATATTATATATTCACTGTTTAGATCTACTCATGTGGAGTAAAGAAAATTGGATTTTCCATTTTATGATTTTTCTATGATTTTTTAAAAATTCAGCCAAAATAAAAAAAAAGGACAAAATCGCCTTTAAAAACACTTATAACCGGGTCAGGGAGATAAAATAAACGGTTTGGGGAGGTGGTTTATCCGGTTTTAGAGTTAACGGAGAAAAACTAAACTTTGAGAATAGTTCAGGGGTAAAATAGACTTTTTCCTTGGAAGCCCACCAGAGATACCGGCTAATGGGCCTCGGAGAAGTGGCCGCAGCAGAAAGCCCAGTACCACAGTGAGTGGAGCGGAGTGGGCGTGAGGGTGCCTGCGTGTCTACCAGTGAGGGGCCGAGAGCCCGTGTACCAGAGGGGCTACGAAGAATTTGTACAATCCTGTCCCCAATTTCTCCTTCCCATCTCTGATTGCTGCTAACATAATATAAGAAAAAATATATATATATCTAACATGACTTAGCTCTTGCAAATCATATATACATCTCAAACAACCAAATGGACCTAACCATCTGAATATCTATCATTTGCATACAAAATGGAACTGCACAAGTTGAAATCGACAGAAAAATATCCAAAAAAAAAAAACAAACAAACAAACAAAGAAAACAGGCACCGAAAGAGATCTACTTCGAAGCAGCCATCGAACGCAGCACATATAACCAACACAATATATATGTGCAAAAGCAGAGAGCATTTTGTAGTTCGCGTTTACAAGAAACAGTCCGTCGCTTCACAGAACTTGCTAATCATCACCGGCCTTCTTCAATAACAGAGCTCAGGAATGGCGACGAGGTGTGCGCCGCTGATGACCTTGGCGCCACGCTCGACTGCCCACTGACATTCCTGCTCATGAAGCTGCTGGTGTCGCCACCCTTGATCTGCCACTCGGTGATGTAGCTGGGTTTGTTCACCACCTCGCCCACCTCCACGTCCCCCGCCAGCATCGACACCGCCCGTGACATGGACGGACGCTGGTGTGGCGAGCCCTGGGTGCAGAGGAGGGCCACGTGGATGGCACGGAGCACCTCGTCGCTGTTGAATCCTGCGAGCTTGGGGTCGACCATGTCCAGAGGGTGGTTTTCTTCGTATAGTTGCCAAACCTGAAAGCATAGAAGATCAGCTAGAAATGACAAGATGCCAGATGCCACGCTGGAGTGACTTTGTCTTTAGTGATTTTCACTGTACAAATTCACATCTATGTTATGTTTGCTGTGCTAGCCAAAATCAAATGAAAAGAAGAAAAATACAATCAACCTCCCATGCCGCAATAAGATCCCAATTCATGCTGCCATAGTATATAGTATTATAGTAAAACTTGGCACCCTTTGTTCAAGAATCATAAACCTAGGCAACACTACAACTATATTTACAGTTTGGCAATTACAAAAGAAAATCAGATGAAACTAAGTCATAAAAGAAATTTTTATGAAGGCATGTGAGCTTGATATTATAAATCCCTAGCATAAATTTTGCTGAAGATCATACTAACAGTACAGAAACCAGACTGCAACACTGCCCAACTTCGAGGCTAGAGTTCAGAGTTAACATACCCATTCTAAAATATAAACCTTGTCTTCATCCAGCGTATTGTCAAAATTTGGCCTTCCAGCTAAGGTCTCCAATATGACCACACCAAATGCAAACACATCAACTTTCTCGGTCATATGACCTCTCATGGCGTACTCAGGTGCAAGATAACCACTTCACAGAAGAGTAAGAAATTGACATTAGCTCACATGTGAAAATTATCTGCAGGTGTAAAGGGGGCAAGATGGAAATGTACTTACAATGTACCCGCAACTTTTGTGCTGACATGGGTCTTCTTGTCATCATAAAGTTTGGCGAGCCCAAAATCCGAGATCTTAGGGTTGAGATTTGCATCAAGTAAGACATTGCTAGCCTTTATGTCCCTATGCACAACACGGATGCTAGACTCTTCATGGAGATAAGCGAGGCCTCTTGCAATGCCTAAGCATATCTCAAAGCGTGTTGGCCAGTCTAGGTTCAGTTTCCCACTTCCTGCAAATATAAATGTTAAGTTTTATTTAAGAAAGCTGAACTCCTAGAATTACTGTTGTATCAAACTGAAATGAGCTTGTACCAAATAATGCTTTATCAAGGCTTCCATTCTCCAGGTACTCATAAACCAGCAGTGGTTTATTTCCCTCAAGACAGCAACCATACAACTTCACAAGATTACGGTGTTGCACTCGAGAAATAGTTTCTATTTCAGCTGCAAATTGCTGTTTTCCCTGATGAGATGTTTCAGATAACTGTTTTACAGCCACCACCCTTCCATCAGCTAATTTACCCTGCAAGAAGGTGCCATTTTCAACAACGTAAGTTTGAATAGAAAAAAAAAGAAGTAGCACTCTTACTTTACCAAACCTGTGTAGAAGCTATAATCGCAACTAGAAACAATAGAGAAGGAAAAGAATAGTGAAAGTAGCTAGTGTGCATATATTGATATACGTGAAAATAATTGAAGCAAAAGAGTTTACATCACCCAAAAATGGAGATGAACTAAACATAAAAACTAATTGTGCATATAATAAAAAAAATGGGTATCCCCTTTTGCTATGAATAACTTAGGAAAATTACTTTCAGAGACTTCATAGAAAATTCGCATCCATGAGCACTATAGTTAAACTAACCTTATAAACTGACCCATATCCTCCTTCACCAAGAAAATTATTGGAACTAAAATTTTCAGTAGCGGTCCTTAGTTCACCATAAGCGAATACATTGGGTCTTCCAACAATACTGTAAAGCTCTGAAAACATCACAAAATATAAGTTTATAAACACAATCTCTTAGCTCGATTCATAATACATTGTAACTTGTAATCATGGTATCTCATTTACCTTGTTGCTCCAATAATAGTTTTCTCTTTTTGTGCCTCCACATACAGAGTCCAGCAATTGCTAGTACTCCCAAAACTGCTGCACCAACCACGACTCCAACAATTACACCTGTTTTACTACTGCTCTTCTTCTGTGCAGAATTACGGACTGTAGGGGTGAAATCTGTGAGAAAGTTATCTTGTTAGAAAAATACGATGTTATAGTAGCAGTGTTTGGATTACTAGATTTTTCTGAATTGCCACTCGTTTTTACTGGAAGTGCACATGAGAACATTTATAACAGTTCAAAATGGATATGTACTACTACTATAAGTGCATGTACTGTTTCAACCATAAGCGCTTCTCAAAGTAGAAACTATATATGCATTATTCACCAAAAGGAAATTATCTAAAAAATGTTAAACGGTGATTGTATCTAAGAGGAGTACTTGGAGTTGCACTCAAAGCTGAGATTGCAGGCCCGTAGTAGCCTTGACTAGGAATGCAACAAGTTCCCTTGCCAGCCCAGAAAAGATGAATCTCAAGGAAGTTTCTAGTGACAGGAACAATATACTGCTTCTTGACAGCAGTGTAAGATTTCTCCCCTGCTGCCTTCCTTATGTCAAAGTTCTTCTCTTTACGCTCGCCCTATGCCAAACACAAGAAAAAAATAATACAAAGTCTTAATCAGCTCATAAGCTAAAACCCCAAAATTTAGGTAATCAGCTCAAAAGGAACCAACCTGGAGATAGATATCGAAAACCCTTCTCCCAACACTCTTCCAAGTCTGTGAATCTTCAAAGTCAAACTCTGCAAATTGAAGAGTGACTGTATAGTTTCCATTCTGGAGTCCAATACCATAGTATCTCAAAGATGATGGCGACATCCTTGCTGTCTGGAATAGTTCTGAATCTAGAGTGTTCTGAAATTGGCGTGAGCTGTAGATTATGTAACTTCCACTTCCATTTGATGTATCCATGAACTTGCCGACATTGCTCACACCCCAGGTTGGTGCTCCTGTAACATAATAGGATGCAGCTCCAAGACTGGCATCATCAGGTTGATACATGGAGTTGTCAGAGCCAGATATAGGTCTACTGCTCCCACAGTCCACAGCAATAGAGGCAGCTGCAAGCAAGTCAATTATTTAACATTGTGTTAATTTAGTACACCTGTAGTATTTCTCAAGTAGGCCCATGCTTGAAATTGCAAAGGTGGTAAGCTCACATTGTGGAGAGCCAAGAAAACAGGGTGTGTCTCTCTGAAGGCACAACAGCCCTGAAGGTAATACACTGCAGATGTAAAACATTGGCATTTTGAATCCAATCTATATGCTGAGAGAACATAATGATTGTACTTGAGAACTTGAGGTGATATCAGAATATGAGCTAACCTATTCGTCATGAAATTGTTCGCCACCAAGTTCCTATGTAGAATGAAACACAGAAAAAAATAATTAGAAGGCATCACTGTTTTTTTTTTCCGCATAAGAAGGCATCACTGTTACTTTCATAGCATATTGAAGGTTTGTCTGGTTTAAGCATAAATCAAGATAAGTAGGGACAAATAATTGATTCAGTTTATTGTGCTGGTCTGTAAGGTTAAGAACGTTTGTTTCTATAATAAAGATTCATAATCATATGTCAATTAGAATTGTAACATTTTTTAAAAATATATATATTATGGATGCACAAAAACAGAATTTCAAATGTACCAGAAATGCTTGTTTGATGCATGTATATACAATTACTCTAATAATCTAGGTTGGGTTGAATTGACCTAATTGGGTTGGATATGGTTTAGGACTTCAGGTGGTCACTTGAAGTTTCAGAACTCAGTACTCACAGTTGCAAATTGTTCTGAGTAGTCCAAGAAGGAAAGTTGCCTGACAGCTGGTTGTAAGAAAAATCTCTACAGAAAAGATAAAAGAGAAATGTTATAGATAAATGCCTCCCTGATTTTATTGCACAAACAAAATTGGATTTCAATGACATACAAATTTTTAAGAGAAGTTCCTATAGAGCTCGGCAGGCTTCCTGAAAGACTATTATTACCGAGAAATCTGGTAGGAACAAATTTGCTAGCATTAGCAACATGAACAATGAATATCTTCAAAATGAAGGAATAAGTTGAAGACGGTAAAAACTATACAAGAAGTTGAGTGAATTCAGATTCACAAGGGCTTCTGGAACTTGGCCTGTGATATTGTTAAAACTCAAATCCCTGTAACAGGAAAACGGAGAACAAGAGGGAAGTAAGTAATTAAACAAAGCATAATCCATTCATTAAAGCATATTGGCACAAATCACACTTGACAGGAGTTTGAAAGAAACAAAATGCCTTACAATAAGTTTAGATTTGCAAACTGTGAAAAGTTCACTGATGCCAGGCTATCAGATATCTTGCAATTCCTCAAAATTCTGCAATGAAGCATGCCAAGAGTATTTGGCTTTAATACCTTGATTGCACTATATCAAATATCAAGACATAGTTGTCCTTAAGTGATGACAAAGTTATCCATACAATGTGCTCAAAGATGTCATGTTACTGATGAATGTCAGTGAAGAACTTCCATTTACTATGTCACCTATTCTTCTGCAGCACAGAAATAGGTAATTCATACTTCCAGACAGTAAAACTACAATTAGAGGATAATACTTAGTACTCTCACCAATACTTACAAGCTTGTTAGTTGGACGAGATTAGAAAGAGTGGCTGGAAGTGGACCTTGAAACGAATTGCCTTGAAACCGCCTACAAAATTGTAATTCATGTTGCTATTTTAAAGCATCATTTCTTTACCGATGCATTTACTGACTATGCAGTCAAGAGAGAAGGAAGATGACATTTCTTTAGTACAACGAAAGTAAATAAATCTGTGTAGCCAGAAATCTGATTTTTTTTTCAAACAACACAGGAGAGCTGTGTGCCTTTGTATTAAAGAAAGAAAGAAAACCTGGATCAGTTACAATACCATAATGCAAGAAGGAAAAAAAAATCTTACAGTTCTGTTAAATTGGTCCAGCTCCCAATAAAATCTGGTATTTGCCCAGTAAAATCATTATCTGATGCCCACCTAAACACCAGAAAATAACATATAAGATTGAATCGCATGGAACAACATTGTAACAAAACATCTTTTATAGGCATACAGTATCTTCATTCTTGTTAGCCTAGAAAATGATGACGGTAGGGGACCACTTAGGCCGGCACTATCAATATACCTGCAATTAAGAGATATACATATGAACAAACATAAGTCATGGCGCCTACTAGTCCAAGCGAAGAATGAAAGAAAAAGGCCCATTTTACAGCTAAATAGTATTTGAGTTTTAAAACTTATGGATGGATTTAAAATTTTGAAATTACCCAAATAACTTTATATAAGTAAAATAAAGTGTAATAGTACTACAAAACAAATACTATTTAAACTAAACTTTCCACTATGTCGATCAAAATAAACTCCATTCCATATCAAACTGATTTAGGTTCTAAACAATCTTATGTGCAATTTTTTTTCCTAAAGAAAAATGCATGGAGTGCAACAATCCTAGACTAAGCCCATTGCTGACAGGTGTAAAATTGACTTTTCTCAAAATGAAAAGAAGAAAATGTATGGAATGCCCAAAAATAGTGAAGATTCTAGACGCACAATTGCTCAAGTTTTTCCAGGTTTCCCAACTCTGATGGAAGAGAGCCATTTAAGTAGTTCGAGCCAAAGCCTCTGAAAAAAATTAGCAAAACAATCCAGGTTAATAAAAAAAATGACAACTGAAACAAATATTTCTAGTTTTTATGATTCAAAATTTGGAGGTGATTTCTAATGGAGGTGCCATGATATTAACAAAATAGTTTACTTACAGAGATACAAGATTCGCAAGGTTCCCAAGCTCCTTTGGAACAGATCCAGACAATGCATTGATGCCCAAACTCCTTGTATTTTGAAAGAGGGAAAGTTTCAGATTTGATGTTAAGCAAAAACATGTTACGGGGTAATATTTTATGTTATAAATCTCACATGTACTGCATAGCAGTCAAATTCCCGAGGAAAGATGGCAAAGGCCCTGTTAAGTAATTTTGTCTTAAATCCCTGAAATAACATCAGATCAGATATCAGTGAAAAGAGATCAGATCATCATTTCATTAGGTATTATTCGCAGCATATCTGAATTTGGGAGTAACATTGGACCAATGTGAAGTTAAAAATATCATCTTAAGTTACTGCCAAAGTTTATGAGAAATATCAGCCACAATGACAGTTAATGGCAATCGCCAAATGAAGTATGTGCTGTTCTGTACCAGCAATTTCATGCAAGAGAAATATGGTGGTAGTATCAGATCTACAATCTGCGAAATCCATAATGGAAAACAAGAAAATGGGAGGATAAAATTATGCAATACGCATCAGGCAAATAACATAAACCCCCAACTAACCACAAGCGAACAGTTTTAGCAATATGACGCTTGAGATAGGATGTTTTTGGCTCCCAGACAATTTCATGCAAGAAAGATGAGAGCACCTACAGATTGGTCAAGCGCGTGAGGTTCTGCAGCTCCTCTGGTATGGGGCCAACTGCATTAAGTGCGTATATCTTCCTGCATTGGGAAAACAAAAAGTACCTATCAGCTCATGCCATCTGAAGTCAGCCATGACCGCTGTTTGTTGTCAGACATAAACACAACAAGGTGCACGAAACACCGTTGAATCCTCCACCAAGCATCTGGCTCTTGCAGGGACCAGTGTTCGTTAGCAAAGTGCAAAGATATGCGCATTCACGGCATGCGACAGGCCCAGCACGAGCGGCCAGGCTCAGGCGAGAATTCCATCGAGCACCTGACGCGCGGGCTTCTAGATAGAAACACAAGCACTTACAGCTTGGTGACGTGGCAGACGGTGACGTTGTTCTGGATGGAGCACTCGCACTTGATGGCCGGATTGAAGCTGGGGTTGTCGTCGATGACGGTGCCGTCCGTGGCGGTGCCGGTGCAGGGATCGCCGCTGATGTTCCATGCCGACGACGCCGTCTGGCCGAGCTTGGCGAACACCGCGTTCACCGCCGCCGCTGCAAACCATTCACATCAGCAGCGGAAATAGACAGACTCTGAGCGAGGTCCCTGCTTCCCGGGCGTCCGATGGCGCCGCGGCGATCGGACGGCCAGGAATCAGCGCCCACGCTGACATCGCGGAACCCGCCAAAACCAAGCTACGTGTGGCCGTGTGGGGGCGGTGGTGGTGTGTGGATTTTTTGTGTGTGCACGCGGTCAAAAGGCAAAAATATGGATATCCGCGGTTGACCTTCTAACCGAGACATTTGGAACAGAGTAGGTGGTGATCGCCTGGAACAACTAGGCACTTAGGCAGCCAGAGGTAGCAGAGGAAGAGATCATGTTTGCAACCGTAGCGGGGGGAAAAGAATTTCTTGCACGGCAACCGGCAGGAACTAAATCCACATGCCAAGGAAAATTCAGAAGCTTTTTCTTGGGAGCACGAGAAGGCAAACAGAGCAAAAACAGAGATGAACTGTACGTTCTTTGTGCAAATGAAGGCAGCCAGCATGACGACGAAGGGTGGGTAATGAGGAGAAGATGCAAGGAGGCGGCGGATGGATCGATGATGCGAGCTGGTTCGAAAGCCTTGGGTCAATTCCATTCCCGGGAAGAACTGGAGAGAAACTACTCACCTTCGACTGGATCGGTCTTCATCGTTGGCGTTTGCTGAGCTTGCGCGGCTGATGCAGCTAGAAGAAGCAGCAGCAGCAGCGTCGGGAGTGCGGAGCCATGGAGGCACGAAGAAGGTCTGGAGCTCGATCCAGACCTCATCGTCTCTCTGCTCGAGCAGCGGAGCCTGGATTGGCTGCCCCCTCGGAGCCCGGTAGGCGGTAGGGAGAGATATGGTGACTCGTCCTCGGAATGGGACGTGGCTCACTCGATCGGTTGGACCCCGCAGCTCGGTGCGCGCAGACACGATATTATATACGTACTCACTCGACGCCCGGACGTTGCCACCGGTGGTACCAACTTCGTTTTTCTACTGGCAAGTGGCGCCACTGCTGTCTACATGCATTGCAGCAACGGGCCAACAACTACCTCCATCTCACACATGCAACCTGTTCGGCAGGCTTGAATTGGCTTGCTGGAGCTAGCGCTGAACCAGCCAGCCAAGTAGTCGCCAGCCAGCCCCCAGCCAATTTAAATTGGCTGAATAGCCATTTCAAATTTAAACTCTTCTCCTCAACTAATTCCAGTTCTCTAAGTCCAACAAAACTATCAAACACTGACAAAAAAAAGTATGTAGCCATGGCCATGAATTTTAAACGATAACTTAGGTTCCAACGTGCACTGACAGTAGTAAGATACTTATAAAGATGATTGAATCAACCGATGAACTACACTTGTATTAATCATTTCTCATGGTATTTCAGTCCTCCTTGTATTGAAATCCAGCTTGTTCTTTAGCCTCAACTGAGAACATCTTCTTGCCTTCTAAGAACTCCTAACAAATGAACAAAGAATCATGAGCAATGGTCCAATCAAAGGCAAAAGTCAATAACACAAAAGAAGGCATCCGAGTTGTGTCATCCAGTTCTCGACCTCTACTATACATCTTCTAAGCAGGCATAACAACAACATGTACAAAGGAAGTAACAGTAGGTCAATAATTATGTCTGCCTAAGTGTTCTTCACAGCTCAAATATAACAAAGAAGTAAAAGTATAATGTGCATGTCTCAAACAAGAATAATGGACCGCTGCCACTAGAAATAGAATTTCACAGCTCAAATAAAACATAAGGAGATGGACGTACAAATGAAGGTGCTCAAATTAAAGTAAGGACAATCTACAAACACCAGTTGCCAAAATGGAAGCACGACATGATATGCTTGTCCCAGTATGATGCATCTAAACAGATACAATATGCCTCGCTTTGTGCAAAAAGCATATCGCAACTTTGTCACAGTTAAAGCAAAACAAGCAGCATTCAAGAGGGCTACTACATCTCGCATAGAAATTGCAAACATGTATGTACAGCTACAGGCTACATGAATGAATGGCCTAGGTGCTGGGTCATTTTCCTCCCACTCTCATACGTAACTTCACAAAATAAACTTATCAGGTCAGTGACATATTCAGCAGCAATGTCCTTCACTAGTGGCTACAGAGTCTCTCGAAGTGGCTGTAAAATCAAGAACACCACATATGAGCAAACAACAATGTCTTTTATTATCACTTACAATGTAAAATACTAATTTGAACTATATTGGATAATTGATTGTAGTATAAACTTAATAAAATAACACAAGATTAAATTAAGGACCTAGAAAAGGATGAAATAATCTTGACCCATTCAGTTAATTACCTTGTACAGATGATACATGCATTTACTCAACAGGATCTGCTTCTAGTTCGTAGCTACCAAATGATAGTCCATTACAAATACCCAACAAATGACACTCCATTTGTTCAATCCATACAACAAAAGATTACAACATACACTAGGGTTAACAAATCTTGGCCCACACATAATGCATTAATTAAATACCTAACTTAAATTCAAGTACTAAAGTAGGTTCATTACATCACCTTCCCTCAATCATATTCCACTTCACACTATAGCTGATATCAACTCCCTTACTGCAGTTGTTTGGGTTCCACTATTTAGAACCACCCACTCCGACAGCTCATACGACGGTGCATTATGTCCATACTTACGCAGCCACAAATAATTATCCATTGCAAAGCATGATATGATAATCATCGCTTGCTTTTTCCTCGCGAAGTAAGGAACCCGTTCTAGAATATGCCACCGTTCTTTGAGCCCCCCAAATCTTCTTTCAATTACATTGCGCAGCCTCGTGTGAATGTAGTTAAATTTCTCCTCGTGTTCTAACGTCCCCAACTCTACGCTCCTAAAGTCGTTTATATGGTACCTTGTATTCTGGAAAGGAGTCATGTATCCTTGACTCTCTGTGTATCCCGCGTCTGCTAGGTAGTAGCGTCCTATAAAAATTGAAATAATTCCACAATTAGTGCCAACAATGTCCTACCAACTACCTACACACATGCTGCATCAAAGATATTTGCAAGTCATCACGAACCTACGGGTGAATGGGGGAACCATTCATCAGCCTGACAGCCTTTTAGGACCGCCATGTCATGACATGCTCCCGCCTTCCCGGCACCCACATAGGTGAAGCGGCCATCCATATCCACAATGGCACAAACATTAATTGAAGTTTCTCCTTTCCTATTGAAGAAGGCAGCCTTAGCTTTCTGATTAACCTCAACCTTTATGTGGGTACCATCTATAGCACCTATGCACCCATCAAACCATGGTGCATATTCAGCAAGTTTCTGGCTGACTCGTGGGTAGTTCCTATCTGTTGGAACTAGTATAGTCTATGCCCACCTATACATAACCTCTGCTAGTGCAGTTACCTTCCTACTAACCGTATCTAACGATCTTTCAAATCTATCTTTGCATTCTTTACTAGCAGACTGGTGGGCACAAGTCCAGACATACATTCCTAAAGCTTCAACGGAACTACACTTGTCTGTAGATGGCAGCCCAAACGGAAGCAACATGTTATGCAAATGCATGAAGGCGTCACGGGACATACGCAAATTGTCTATGCATTTTGTGGGGTCGTCAAGAGTAAGTTTCATCCATTGCACCCCGGTGAGCTTGGGTATGGGACAAGGAGGATTTACCACAGGACGTTGCTGCGCCAGCATGCCTTTCAACCTTCTTAGCACGATAGCTGCCTTCGCCAAGTTCACCATGCCCGGTCCTTCACTGGAAGTGTCGCTATTGGACGACTCCTCATTGCTGCTCATGCTGCAATATTGAAAAGGGCACAAACCAATAAGATGTGACATCATATATTGGCATGGTATCATACCAGAAATAACAAAAAAGAATCACTTTCAATTACCTCAATACATGTGGAGGCACAACCAGTCAATTAACGAAATTTTTGCAGTCAATTAACGAAATATCTAGGACCCACCATCTCCTGCCGCCAAAGTTTACTAAACATGCTCAAATCAGAAATTGACATCAAATAGAATGCAGATGGCGCTTCAACTACAATGCTCACAGTACACCACACATCTAAGTGAACATAGTTCTCGACAACGATCTTTATTACAACGAATACAAAGAACATAATGCTGACAAGGTACATAAACAACTCAACATGCTCATGCTAGAAAACTAAACCAACTAAAGAAGCCGCAGGAGGAAGTATGATGCTGATCACTTTGACTTGGAGAAAACGAAGTCCCACGAGACATTCACCCAATTTAGCCGGCCCTCTTTTGTTTCCAAATCAAGAAAAGCCCGACGACGGAGCCTGTTGTTGCAAAGATTAAGGGCTTGGGCAAAGACTACATCACTCTTGTTGTAACCATCTTGCTTCAGAATCTAATTGACTTGGGCAATCTCCTCGGCACCGGTGGCTTGACGGGCCTTATTCCCCCTAGCATCCCTGATAATGTCGCTCAGGTCATCAAGGTAGTCATCAAGGGTTGGAGTCCTGCTACTCTTCTTACTACAAGGACTGTTAACGGAATGGTCCCTAGTGACTCTCTTAGAGGGCTGACCAACACTACGTGGTTGTATGGGCTCGTCGGACAAGGCTTGAGGAATCTGTGGGCTGGCACTACTGGGTGTACGGTCAGGTTGATGTCCCCCTACAGATACCAACTCGCCAATGTCACATGGGGTGCGTCCCAAAATCAAGGTCAGTTGCTCACAGCATGGTGGACGTCTGAACCTCTCACGAGCAGTTTGGCTACTTTCCTGCACGTGATCTAGGGATGGCCATGTTAGTAGTCAGTTAGTGCGAACCTAAAGGCTAAAAAAGAGTCAATGAAAAGGGTGTAGTTAGTACCCTAGTGCCTGTGGCATACTGTAACACCCCAGGTGTTTGCCACCAGTTAAGCAATGGGTTTGAGCTAAAACATGGTATATTAAGTGATGATGAAGATGTCAAGGTCGAACCTATAGAAACGAGCCCCAACCTAAACTTGGAGATTGCACCTTTGCTCGCCTATAGACCCCTTTTCAAGATATATGCTTGGGTGGTGTTATTGGAATATCTTCGTGTGTCTCACATCAATAACCACCTATATTGATCCATGGAAAAGTTTCGTGAAGTTTGGAATCAAGAAGTCACATGAAATGACGAGTTATGTCGTTGCTTGAATTATTCATAAAGTAAAGGGAATTCTCGATCATCAATCAAACCTTGCAACCTTGCCCAAATGACTCTAGATTAACTCTACAACAAAAGTCATGAAAGGTTCATGTTGAGCAAATGCCAAGAAAATGCCACAATGGGTCACAACGGATAATTTAAGTTTCATAGTGATCCTACTTTGGTCAAACTAGAATAGTAGGTTCTATACCAGTTTTGAGGTTGGACCTTCAATGAAAGTTGTAGTCCATATCATGTAGAACAAACTTTGTTTTTGGACTAAGAGCTAGATCAGCTTGGAAGTAAGTCAAATCGAGGCTCGAACTTTGAATTGACAATTTGTTTTCGATTACTTAGAAAAATTTCTAAGTCTGGAATCCATTGTCATCCTTTGTTGGCATTCGCGTTCTCCAAATTTTGCTAAGCAACTTCAGTTGATCCAAATGTAAAAGTTGGAGCTTACATGATGGGAAAAACATACAAGAAGATGGCACCGATTGCATTTCATTTCGACCATCAATTTTGGATGTTTGCTTGTCATTTGTCAAATCAACGACACTATCAAGTTTAGTACTAATTATCTGCTAATCCAACAGCCTAATGGCGAGCACCCTTAATCAAGATTGTAGAGCATCGAAGATGAAGAATTTTGCTTCAAGGCCCATAGCCCGATTCGAACAGTAGCTGGCCCAAAAGCGGACTCAAGTCGGGCACGAGAAGCGCACGCCACGTACTCGATGAAATGACTTCGTGGTGGCCATGCACCGAGCCGCGCCCACCATGGCCGGCGTGTCCGACCTCCGTGCCACACGCGCCACCTCGCGCCCTTTGCTTCAAACCCGGCGCCCGAGCTCCCCACAGTTCACTCGCTCGCCTCCCATCGCCCCTCTCGCCCTGTCTCTCGCTTTCGCTTGGACAGCCTTGAAATCGCCGGCGAGCTTCTTCTTTGCCGGTACTCTGCCAGCGCTTCTTGCCCTCGAGACTCTCACGCCTTGACTACACAAGCGTTGCCGTCCACCTCCACTTCCGCGTCTCCTCGCATTTGGAATAGCCCCGCCGTGCCGCAGCGCCGCCATGGTCGAGGAGGGCCAAGATCGCGCCGCTGCCGTGGCCCAACACGTCGGGCTCGTCTAGGGCCGAGAAAGTTAGTCCCACTGGTCCGCTATGCCCCCTTGATGCTCCTCCACCCCTTCTTTGCCGCGGTGAGCACCACGGTGGCCGGAAGGAAAAAAGCGGCGGCGTCTTGCTGCTGTTCGGCGGAGGAGGAAGAAGAGGACCTCGCGCTCGAATAAGGGAAAAGGCGGGGGTTTTGTGAAGAACTTGTGACTCCAGTGAATAGTGCCAAGAAGGGTCGATTCGCTGACAATTAATTCATGTTTTCCGCAGGGACCCGATGCAAGATTTCAATTTCCTTGTTTTCTCTGGTTTTTACAGTTTTGAATGCTACACTTTGAAAATCCGTATTAATTAGTAGAAAAATCCTAAAATAACAAATGTGGACTTTTTGGAATCCTTATGAAATTGTCTATGCATTAGATCTATAATATGGCATATTTTAGTTTAAAGTTTTAGCTGTAAAAATAGATCTATGCAGGTTAGGGTTTGAATGCTAGTCTTACTTGTCTTTTCATAACTGCAGTTTTATGCTCAAATAAATGTGAAATTTTTTGTGGAGTGCTACTAAGGTGATTGTTGTTGTCTGGTAAAAATTTCAGGAGTTTAGGATTTATAGTTTAAGAGTTATAAAATAACAAATGCCCTTTATTGCTTTGCTTCTACTCTGAACAGTTCTGCATGTTTGAATTAATTGGCTCAGTTAAGTTATGAATCATGACTTGGTGAAAATACATTAGTTGTAGTACTTTTCTTAAGCTTTCCAAAAAGTTAAATATCATGATTTTTGGTTAAGTAGATCTTGAGTTATACTTGCTTAAATATCAGTGGCTGTTCCTGCCCAAACTCTGACAGGGTTACCTTGTTGGTATTGTGGGGCCTTCTTAATAGTAGAATTTGCATTAGGTGTTTACAACAAAGTTGTTTATAATTTGATAAGCTTTCTAAAAAGTCTAGAACCACATTTATTGGATATGTATAACTCCATTTATAGCTGTTTAAAGTGGCATGTCAGTTTCTGTCTATGTTTTGGACAGAGATGCAATTATTGGATTAATTGACCCTTCTAACTGTAGAATCATCTTAAGATGATAATAAGAAAGTTGTAGATAACTCACCTAACTAGCTTGTGTTAAATTTTCATGGCATGTGGCCAAGTAGTTTGTGAGTTATGACTGTTCTAAGTTGGTCTTCAGAAATTATAGCTTTCTGGAATTTGCTGGACCAGCTTTGATAAATGTGCCTATTTAACCTGGTTAACTTTGGAATCATGCTGATAGGTTTAAATATGAATTGTAGACAATTTCATAAGATTTCCATAATGTCTTCTTGCAAGTCATTTGGATTTGTGTAACTTCAGTTATAGCTAAATCTTGTAGCTGCTGTTTGCATGTCCAGAAATTGGCAGATTCCAATTATAGTGTTTGCTTGTATATTGTTAAGTGTGACTTATGCCTTGAGTGATGACTGAGTTAGAGCACATGAGATCTTGGGAAAACTTGTGTCATGCTTGGTGTTGTCGTCTTCTTTGCCATCTTAGCATGATAGATTGTGTGATGGTTAAGTTAAGCATCGCAAAGTACTTAAGTGTGAGTGTAAACTATGCTTGTCCTTGCTTGCTATTTTGTGATGCATCTCATGGTACTATTCTTCATATTCATACACTTGCATATTGCATCTCATCTAGGTGCGCTAGATGAACCACGTGAAGAATATGATGTTGGAGCCAAACCGAAGGCGGTGTATGGAGGATCTATCACGAAGATGGAAGGACTAAGCAAGTGTTAGGACTGTGGCGTCACCGGAGACGGTGCAAGCTAGCTGAATTGACTTGTGTCGGATCCGGGCAAGCCGGAGCATTATAAGTCTCCTAATTTATAAAAGCAATTCTTTCTATATATGAGTTATATATTGTTGCATTAAGTTGTAGGAGTTGATTGGAACCGTTGATGCATTTATTACTATCCTTGCCTACCTTATTACCTTTTTACCTGTTAGGTCGGGGATCGAATAAGCTGCTTAGCCTTGCTTAGACCGGTAGCGATCGGTGATATCCGATCACCTACATTATAGGTGGTTCTTTGGAAGAATTTAGCTATGGAAAGAATGATATCACGAAGTAACCATGTGTGATGGATAATTGGAGACCGGACGGAAAAGTTGGAGGCAACAGAGCGGGGGTTACGGGGTCTTTGTTAGTTTCCGTCTGTGTCGATTAAGGACCGACCGTTGTTGGGCCTCGAGTCATGTTGAACGCATGCCTTACATTTAGCTGGCCGGATAAAGTACCTTCCGACCATGAAGGGGAGATTTTTGGGCGAGTAGATTGCCCATTGACGCCTTGTTGGGAAGCGGTGTGGTAGGACACAGGCGGGATGATAAGACCAAAGTGCGATCGGTCGGCCCACAGGTACATGTGGTTCTGGCAAACTCGAGATACCGGAAAGTTGACTCGGTGATCAATATCTCACTTTAGCGGGTGAGTGAGGTTTGTGTAAGGAATAAATCACACAATTTGGTTAG